TTACTGGTACCTGACGATTCTGAGCACTGCAGTAGGTTCTGCAAGGGAGCACCCTGATGCTGAGGAGACACACGCTGAAGCAGTGAGAGGGAAAGGGGCTACAAGTCTGCAACTCTCAAGCATTTTAAGAAAAAAAGTGTTGTGTGTGTGTGTGTGTACTTACATAGAGAAAGACTGACTGATAAAATTAGGGTGGTAAAAAGTCTAAATTTGAAACATTTGAAGAATCTGGGTGAAGGGTATACAGGAATTCTTTGTACTATTTTTGCAAATTTTTGTATGTCTAGAATTATCTCAAAATAAAAAGTTAAAAATAAAAACAGTAAGTCCATCCTGTTACTGTGTCTCCCTGTTCCTGTCCACCAGAGCACTTTACTTTTCCGGTTGTCTACTCACCAGATTCTGAGCACCACAGTGTAGAGTCTATATTTCTGCTCCTCAAAGTATAACCAACACCCAGAACAATACTTTACACTTTATAGGCACTAAATATTATGAATGAAAGACAATACTCAAGGACATATTACAGTTTTCTATTCATATAGCTGATACAATTTTCACTGATACAATTTTAAGAGGTCTCCATCAACTGATAAATGGACACAGGAAACGTGGTGTATCTATCCAATGAAATACTATTTGGCAACACAAAGAAATGAAGTACTGACACACGCCACAACATGGATGCACCCTGAAAACATTATGCTAAGTGAAAAAAAGCCAGTCAAAAAGGATCACATAGTGTATGATTACATTTATATGACATGTTCAGACTATGCAAATCTATAGAGATAGAAAGTAGACTTGGTTGCCTAGGGATGGGGAGACTGGGGAAAGACGGGTAGAAGGTGTGCAGGGGAGTTCTTTCGGGGTAAGGAAAATGTTCTAAAATTGATTATGGTGATGCTGCACAACTATGAATATACTAAAAGCCATTAAATTGCACACTTTAAATGGGTAAAGTTCATGGTATGTGAATGATATCTCAATAAAGCAGTTTAAAAATAAAACATTAAGAGCTCTGCCAAAAAGACTTTTTGAAGCCCATACGTAGTAAAGCAACTTAACGTCTGCAGATTGCCACAACGTATGGCACTGAAAAGGACTTCATTTTAGACATTTGGAACCTTCTATTACAACTTCTGTTCAAACTAAACCCTGCTGACAACCTTGTATTTGTCAAATAAAGATTCCCAAATAAAAACAACTGTTTTTATGATACAGAGAAGAAATTCCCAGCAATTGCAGCCCAATACTGAGCTCATGAGGTAAGAATGGGCTAGCGAGAGAGAATGCTCTTTGAGACTAGTCCATCCTAACTCCCTTCTGCTTCCAAGGCTTGTACAGGGGTCATCTGCCCCTGGAAGCCCTCTCTGAACCCTCACATTAGACTAAGTGCTCTCCTCTGGACCCCCAAAGCATCCTGCACCCACCTTGAGCCTAGCACTTTTGAGACAAACTATTTTTCTCCTCTGTTAAATGAGGAAACGTTTTAATCACCTCTGTATCCCTCGTACCTAGCACAGTGCCAGCACACAAAAACAGCTCCACAAAAATTGAGTTAAACTTGCAGTATGAATTTGGACCTGACTTGTATCAGCCTCAGTTCTCTACTTATTAAACAGGAATTCCCTCAACTGTCTCACCAAACTCACAGGGATGAGATAGGAGAAACCAGGAAACAGACATAACACAGTTGAAAAAGTGACACAGGACACACATCCGGTCTTCCATCGTTATAAAGCACCCCGTGTAAACCATCAGTTATTATTCTATGGGTCCTTCTATGTACCTTAATTTTGTTACAGGAACTTTGCCTTTGATACTTTGGGGTTAAAAAGGCACAAGGGGGGCTGGCCCCGTGGCCGAGTGGTTAAGTTCGCGCGCTCCGCTGCAGGCGGCCCAGTGTTTCGTTGGTTCGAATCCTGGGCACGGACATGGCACTGCTCATCAAACCACGCTGAGGCAGCGTCCCACATGCCACAACTAGAAGGACCCACAACGAAGAATATACAACTATGTACCGGGGGGCTTTGAGGAGAAAAAGGAAAAAATAAAACCTTTGAAAAAAAAAAAAAGGCATAAGGGATGGGAATGCCCTAAACAAAAACTGATAAAAGCCTATATTAATTGTTTACCATTATGTACCTTTCTGTCAACTATTACAGGGAAAATAAAAAGCATTTTTTACTTCAACAATTAATGCTAAATTACTCAGTAAAGTAGCAAAGAATATAACTGCTACACAGGTTACTTTACAGCCTACTTTCCTGCCTCTATGTTCTGAAATGACTCAGAACCACAGGATAAAATTCTGTATTTAAAAAAAAGAAAAAGATATTCATGACCTGAATGCTGCCACCACACCTCATAAATACAGCACCTTGTGCTGCTAAAACGGTTTATGCATTCAAGAGCCCTACGTGTTCTTGACAGAAACCATACTCGAACAGCTCAATTTAGAACATGCTGACCTTGAGCAAATCAATGCCCTGAGCATGTACTTCTGGCTTGCATCACCACAGGCGCTAGGCAGCCTCACCATCTATAGTCGTCCACAACTGCTGGCCACTGTCCCCTGTCTATTTTAAGATATCGCTACTACATTTCTGTGCTGCACAGTTCAAAGAAACCGAGTAACACATGAACCTATGTCTAAGCACAAATCGTTTACCTTGGAACTCAGGGGGTGTGTTCTTACTGTGACTAGCTCAAAAATATTTAATTTGGTAAGTTTCCACTTCCTGCTTTCATTTTTTAAATACAACATATTTTTAACAAAGAGTAAAAATCAAGTGTAAGACACTTTTGCTTACTGCCTAATCAAATTTATAAGTAAACTTAGTCAAAAATTAACTCAGAATTGGCAAAGTTCCAAATATAAACTACAAGCAAATACTGAAGAACAATGGTTGCCTGCTATTTTCATATAAAATTACACTAGATATTAAAACAGTACTTGGTTAAGGACTACACTATATTTTCACAAGCTATCTTAAATATTTACTAACCCTTCTAACTCTTGGATCTGACAGAAGGCCCATTTTTAATTTTTTTTAACCAAGCAACATCAGCTACAATGCTAGTAGTAGTCTTTGTTTACAAATAAGAGCCCTATTTTTTTCTCTAAACAGAACATGTAATTTAGCAGTTATATAGCTTCCAAAATTCAGGTAAATTATTCACTTGAAATTTATACATTAAAAACAAATTAAAAACTACTAATTGTACTTAGCAATTACTCACAAATTTTTTAATTTCATTCCCAACAGAGGCTAATATTTGTGCAAAGGCCTAATGCTAGAAACCACTATCATAAAATATGTAGTATTTTAGATTACTTTTTAAAGGATTTCCTTTACTCTCTTGAAACAATTAATAAACAGATAATCTCAAGTATAGAAAATAAAGTTTTTTTTCACTTCATCCAAAAAATTTCAAATAAAGGACAAGGAGTCTAGGTGTCACACAGAGCTAAATCTGACAGCAGAATACTGCAGAGCCCAGATAAAATGAAGTCATTGACTAGAAGTGAACTAAATATAGAGCCCCAGCAGCTGGGGCTCGGGGGTTTATATAATGTGCCAGCTGATGATGGAAAGCTCTTGAGACAGAACCCACAGAGCACAAAGAGAAGGGGGGAAAAGCACTGTTCTTCTCATGACATTAAATAAGATTTTTAAATAATTTTTCCAGAAAAAAATTAACTGAAAGCTAATCTTGTATTCCATTAAACTGAAAAAAAAAAATTGTCAGGAGCACAGAGACTCAAATAAATCTAATTATATGGGATATTAAGTAAGACTCATTATCCTGCTACAACTATAACACCTTTTAAACCATCTAAACGATTTTGAGAATGGTATCTAGGACTCTAATCTAAAAATCACACAATCAGGAATATACTAAAGGGTAAATGAGGCTACATTTCTAATTTCTAATACATATTTTAATGAACTTAATTACTGCTTAGTGACATAAACGTGGGGTTCCTACTGATGACCTACGAACGGAGGGCACATATTTGGAGCTGCTTCTTGTGCAGTGAATTCTCCTCCATCTTGTCCCGGGGAATAAGGCTCGCAGGAAGCTAGCCAGGGTGAGGGGTGTAATGCAAAGGCAGATGCGACACCAGAGTACGATGACTCCTTGTTGGGCCTAAATCTACACCCCTTGTGTTCTAACAATAAACAGCACGTGTCCCTCTATTTACTAACTTATTACTGGCCAATACTGGCGGATCCCGTATCCGCCCACTGTGTGGCAGCTCACGGGGCTCAAGTCCACCAAGACCATAAATTCACTTAGGCTGAAATGAAAAGAATTCCTCAAATTATTAAACTATGAATTCAAACATATTTATACATTCAAAAGATACTGTTAATCATGACACTGCAGCACTTTATCAATATTTACATGGCAATTATTTTCTTCTTTAAATTTCACCCACAGCACCAACACTGCAACGGCGCTACCTACAGCACACAGGCAGAGAGAGCACAAAACCAGTTATGAAAAGCGGCCTGGGCATTTGTAGCAGCTGTGCAGTGTGTTTGAATCTTAAAATAACTACGCAGAATAACTTTCTGAATTCTTACATCTAACTTTTCTAAATGTTCAGTTGCGTCTGATTATGTCTTTAATAAACTAGTTTTCTTGAGAGCTGAAATGCCCAAAGATATATAGAGAAATTACTATAAACCCTTTCCCAACATTTAAAGCCTTCTGTTTGATCATCATTATCACCTATCCTTCCTTAAGGACTACTAACAACAAAAATACCACAAGTCTTTGACATGGAACTTGGCAGTAGAGATTTCTATTGTGTTTGGGCAGATTTCATGTCTAAATTTTTAAAATCTTTTTAAAACCTCAAACCTAAGTTGATCTTGTCTTGATTATTTATCCGAAGCAGTGTTTTTCACCACAGATACACACCAAATTTTTTCATTTAGCAGAAATTCATTTATTAAATAACCCAAAAAGTCGCTGTCCCCTACCTGTAGTATCGAGATTGCAGATACGTTGAACAAACAGTCTTTGATACGTGGCTGGCTGACCCAAAGTCTATTACTTTAACTCTGTACGGCTGCCGAACAGGATCCACCAACATAATATTCTCTGGTTTGAGGTCAGCATGGATTAAACCAAGACTTTTCAATTTTTTCAGTGCAGTGGCCACTTGTTGAAGAATGGGTCGAATTACTTTTAGTGGCAGGGGACTGAACTTATTTTGTTTCAGAAAGTCATACAAGTTTTGTTCCAGCATCTCAAAGACTAAACAGGTATGGTTCCGGTGCTGAAAGCATTCGTAAGCTCGTACAAAGTTATACTCATCGGCATTTTCAGTACTGAGCCTTGCTAATATGCTCACTTCTATTTGACCTTGACGTGCATAAGAAGGGTGATTCTTCAAAATTTTGATTGCTACAATTTCATTTGTCCCTCTTTTCCAGCATTTGACTACCTGGCCAAAAGTGCCTCGACCCAGAAAATCGAGGACTTCGTAAGTATTTTTCAGGGAGCACAAGACTTCATGCTGCACTAACTGGTAGTCGCCCTCTCCACTGGTGCAATTTGGCTTTGTTCCCGTAGTGGCTGTCACAAGTGTCACTGGATTTCCCATGCTGGTCTGCAACATTGCAGGAAGTACGGACAGCTCGTCAACAATCTGCATCGCGCTGCCGTGGTGATCCAGCTCCTCACTCTTGCGCTTCAATCCACATCTCGGGGGGCCTTCCAGGAAGCCGAGCCTGTGCTGCCACGCCCCAGCGGGAAGTGCCTCCACGGGAGCTCGCTGCGCCGGAGCTGCTAGGACCTTGGTAGCACCTGTGGTGTTTTTTAAAACAACAGCACTTGTCTGCAACGAAAAGTGGTGTCCTCGAGGTCTGTTAAATGGGATCTTTGTCTGAAAAGCACTACCCTTCGTGGGAGGATGAGAATTTCCAACGTTTCCACCATTCAGATAGGTCCGTGGATAGTTTCTTTCCTGGAATACACAACTGCTTGGCTCTACTTTGAGTTTCTTCACACTACAAAAGGCACTTGACTGAGTTTGATAAACATACGGGGGGTAGACCAAGACTTGTGAGGCCATACCTGTGAAAGAAAAAGAAAAAATGGAACATATCAACTACATCTCAGGAGGAAAACTTTTAAGGGTCAAATCCGTAATTTCTAAAAATAATTAAATTTCATTAAGATTTTTTTCTCTTGGAGAAGAAAAGCATTTTCAATATCTCTGTTCTAGTTAATTAGTGTTTCAGTTATTTTGAGTGTTGCGTAAAAGGCTGGGAATAAGAACTGAGTTCATTCATTTAATCAATAAATATTTACGGAGCAGCTACAATGGCCAAGACATGCCCTCGAAATTGTACCAATCATTTTTCCCCGAAAGGAATAAACACAGATCCTGAAACTGCATTCGTTTGGCATAAGTAAAGCATTCTACCACCAAACCATCATTTATGAACCAACGACAACGAAAGAAAATACAGTACTACATAAATATACTCATGTTCCTTAAATCTAAAGCCAAGAATTGCCTCAGAAAAAAAACTCAATTGCAAAAATAAGTATATAAGCCAGACACAGGTCCCTGCACAACGTCCTCCTGCACAGCCTTTACATCCAGGTCAGAGCGATGCGCTACCTTCTGGGGAAGCCTTTCCTGGGACACACCCACTCACCACTCCCCCCAGGCAGGGCTGGGCATTCAGTGCTCTCACAGGAGCCTCTGTATTTTTCTAATGAGCATTCACGATGTTACACTACACTGCAACTGTCAGCGTATGCATCCAGCTTTCACACTAGATCTGAAACAAGATGCCAGGATACAGAGTTGTTGTTCTTTAAATAATGTTAGGTGACTGAATTAACTTCAAAATATTTCTGTTCTCCATAATGTAAAAATCTGTATTGTATTAACCAGGCAACTCTTCTACTATTTTAATAAATCACCAAACATCAATTCTTTGACTCAAAAACAACAAATTTGCATCACGCTATATAATACATAACATTTAAAATAATAAGACCTACCACCTACTAAGCACTCACGGTGCAACGGTTTAATGAACGCTTCATTTGGAATCTTTCATTTAGTCATATTACTATCTTCCCAATTTGCTCTTAAGAAAACTAAAGCTCAGAAGGACTAGGTAACTGGCCCAAGGTCACAGAGCTAGGGTATAGGAACAGGAACAGGAAAATACACTGCCCTTCAGATAAAAGGCATAACTTTAATGCCTCCTTCAACTTCCTAAACGCTTCTTGTTAACGACTGCCACATTCCTAAAGTGACTTGGCTTTGGTAAGAAAGCAGCTACAAAACCTCATTAGACAAATTGAGATTTGATGTCCATTGTGTAACAGAAAATTGTAAATTGAAATCCTGCCATTCCAAACCATTTCATCCATTTTCTTAAAATCTTCTTGGCATCACCTTTACTCAGGAGGTTTCAAAACTCCACTCCACCAATTTATCATCCTTTTAAGGAGGCAAACCCACACTGAAGATTCCTTCTAAACACATCAAACTCACCACTAAGTCACTTAATACTGTTTGTGATGCTCCCCAATCTTATCTCCAACAATTTAACATTAGCACGATTCTCCAAAATTCAAACCACTTCTGTGACCCAGACCCACAGAAACAGACTCAGAAATGATGAAACTCACATAAGAATTTCTAAAACAGCTATTATAAATATACTAGTGGACTTAAAGAAAAGTATTAACATAGACATGAAGAGCATTTTAAAAATGGAACTGGTGGGGAGGGCACAAAGGGTAAAGTGGTGCACCTACAACATGACTGACAATAATGTACAACTGAAATTTCACAAGGTTGTAAACGATCATAATCTTAATAAAAAGTGAAAAAAAAAAAAAATGGAACTGGTGAGCCTGGAGAACCCCGCACACCATACACAGATGGTGAGGAGGAAACGCGGCAATATCTCACAAAACTGCCAGCGGGGATGTTCTCTGACCTGGAACCAGGCAATCAGCTCCAGTGCAAGATCCACGCAGCACTGTGCTAACACACATGTGCTGGAAATAACCTCAACACCATCCAAAAGACATGGGGTAAATACACCTCCATACAAAGACCAACTATATATAGGCTTTAAGAAAACCAAAACCATCTACTTACCCTGTAATGGCCTCATGCCCAAGATAATATTGTTACATGTAAAAAGCAAGATTCAGAAAAATGTGTACTTTGTAAGTTACTACCATGTGTGTTTGATAAAGAAGGGAGAATTATGTATGTATATATTTGCATGTACACTGGATATCTGTACATACACAAAGACATTCTTTGCCTTAGAGGAGAGTAACAAGAATACTGGAGGCAATGAGAAAGACATGCTTTTCCCTGTACATCATTTTTACCACATTAATTTTTATCATGTAATTACCTGTTCAAAAAAACTTTCTGAACCATTTGGGAACCTATTAAGATAGATACGTTCTGGGCGGTCCTTTCTACTTACTAGATGGGATGCTGCCCGATTCCTGAATCATTGAATAAAGCCAATTAGATCTTTAAACCAAAAAAATATACATTTATATATATATATATATATAATTTTCGTATTTAGAGGTGAAATAATATTTCTAGGATTTGCTTCAAAATAATACAGAGAGAGAGTGGACGGGGATATGGATAAAACGAGATTAGCCATAAATTGTTCATTATAAGAGTTTGACAGTGAGTAAAAAGGAGTTAATTATACTATCTTGTCTACTTTTGAATATGTTTATATTTTTCCTTAATAAAAAGTTAAATAAATAAACATACATTTGAACTCCACCCAGGAAGAGTCTGATGCAGCAGGTCTGTGCTAAAGTCCAGGCATCTGTATATGTACCAGCTCCCAAGGCCATGTAGAGTCAAGCTAACCTCTGACACCAACTATCCAATCTGGACAAAATCCTGGGCAAATTCAAGTCCTACCAATTCAGGGCACTCAAGTCTGAGAAATCAGGATGAAGTCCTAGGGAAGATAATGCACACCACTCAAAACCAATCCACGCCATGTTAAATTAAGGTGTCACGTGGACAACAGCTGAGATCCAGATAAACAACCTAGAGAGAGTGGAGAAACTACTTCATTTTCTGAGTCCTGCTACTCCTACCTTTTCTTTCCCAACATGCCAAGCTAGAAGGCAAACAATTAACCCAAGGGCCCAAACCAGAGTCAACTAAAGGATGCTCAGAAAAAGGGAGTACCCTCACCAACCACTGTGCTCTGTGGGACCAATCTCAAAGGGGACTTTAAAACATAAACAGGAACAGGAATGTCACTTAATCCACACGGCACCCGAGGAGAAAGGGGTGAGGGCAGATAGGTGTAACAGACCACAAAGAAGGAACTCTAAGTCACCAGTCAGCTTGACCACTGTGACTCCCTGCCATATCCAGGTCTTAAGTCTTTCCCTTCTCCCACCTCCATCAGATAAACTCATGACCCGACAGGGTGACTTCTACTCAGTGTTTATGGACTTTATAGAGGACAGCATTTCCAGGAGCTGCTGAAGTCCATGGAGTCCCAACCTCGACTCGGTGCAACACTGTTTCCTACTATTTCTCACTGCAGTACATACTATGTTCTACCTTTGCAGCTGTATTATTCATGACTTTGCCGTTGGTTCTTATCAAGCTCTGGAATACCACCCCTTTGTGGCTGGGCCACCTACTAAACATCACTCGGAGGACAAGGAAGATTTGTCAGAGCAACCAGTAAGCTTCAGTTCCCCAAGCGTAATGCTCTCAGGCACATTAACTTTGATTAATAGGCCTTATTTTTCCAATCCTCTAAAAAACTTTAAGACCCATCTGAATTCTATCCAAATTCTTCACAACCTTTCACAACTACCAAAACAGCAACATAACAAATATTGACAACTACAAGCATGAGTCTGACCACTCCTAACCATATAAACAACTGTCTATTGTCCTCTCCCCCAGCCCCTGGCAGCCCCATTCTACACTCACTCTATGAATTTAACTACTCTAGGCACCTCATATAAGTGAAATTATACAATATCTGTTCTTTTGTGACTGGCTTACTTCACTTAGCATAATGTCTCCAAGGTTCATCCATGTTGCAGCACATGTCAGAATTTCCTTCCTTTTTAAGGCTAAGTGATATTCCATTGTATGTATATGCCATATTTTGTTTATCCATTCAGCCATTGAAAGATATGTGGGTGGCTTCCACTTTCTGACTGTTGTGAATAATGCTGCTGTGAACAGAGATGTACAAATATCTCTTTAAGATCCTGCTTTCAATTCTTTTGTGTATATACCCAGAAGCGGAATAACTGGATTATATGGTAATTCTATTTTTAATTTGAGGAATCATTCTATTGTTTTCCATAGTAGCTATGCTGTTACTATTCCAACCAGGAGCGCACAGGGGTTCCAATTTCTTCACATCCTCACCAACACTCATTTTCTTTGTTCTCCTTTTTTATAATATCCATCCTAACAGGTGCGAAGTGGTATCTCATTGTGGTTTTCAAATTTCCATTTTTAAGTCTAATTCTTTCTTTATCAATACTGGTTGCACTAACACCTAGACCTTGATGTCATCAGTAGCTATAACAAGCAAACTTCCTTTTTTTTCATTTGCGTTACTGATAAATATTAAATCCTACACTTAAGACTAAGTTCTACAGAAACCCATATATAGCTGAGCTTTCCCAAATGATGACTGAATAAGCCCCAGTTCTTTCAGACTGTCACAGGACAATACAGAAATTATTAAATTACTAAAAGCATCAAGTTTAAATTAAGATACAAATATGAAAACGTGATCAGCATTAAGACTTCTAAAGATCTAGAAGAATACATGAAAATTACAAGTAAAACAAAAGCCTTTTAAAAACATAGAAGAGATTGTTTTTACCTAAAGAGAAGCTCAAGGCACTAAAAGATTACCTCATTATAAACAGGGATAAAAGACCAAAACATTAAATTTGTAGCCAAAATTCTACAATTAAAAAAAAAAAACTAGCAATATAACAAACAAAAAAAGTTACCTCAATGAAAATTACCTTCAGGAATATTTTCATTCAACTGGAAG